TAAAATACCTAGGGGTTGAAATCGATACCAAACTGAATTGGAATATTAACATCGGAAAATGACTGAATAAAGCGTATATGGTCAAACGCTTGCAAAAGAATACTTAGCAGGAACTGGGGTCTTAAACCAAGTAAGTCATGCGGATGTATTGACGGCCGTATACATACACATGATGCAGCGCACCATTAGACCAATTCTAACGTATAGAGCACAAGTTTGGTTGCCTGCAATAAAGATACAGTATAATATCAGGGAACTAAATGGAATACAAAGAGTAACCCGTGTAGGGGTTACCGGGGCTTGTCCGACTGATGCGCTCAATATACTCCTATATCAGCTACCCATAGATGCGTGAACTCTGAAATTAGCAACAAGCTCTGCTATTAAAATTAAGGAGGATGGAGACGGAAATATTACGGACATAGCGCCTACGCAAATCAACTAAATATAAGCAAATCAGACGATATCCTCCCAAGGTTCGATTTTAATAAACACTTTCAGGTGAGGAGTCCCTTTAGAAGTGAATGAAGAAGAGATATAGTAGGGGAGGAGGATAGTACCTCTATCTATACCGCCGGGTCCAAAATAGAGTGCGGAGTAGGGGCGCGAGTATACTCCTACGATCTCGATACTTCTATCTCTATCCTATAGAGAAGGCCTGTGAAGTTCTTTTGAATAACTAAGGGAAGATATAGAAAGCAACCATATACACGGACAGGCAGGCGACATTGATCGCCTTGTCGACACCACAGATTGATTCCAAACGGCAGACGAGTTGGTAAAGCTAGAGACAAATCCAAAGCTGAGCCAATACTACGCCCGCTAGGAACTATCAAAAGAGAGTTTTACTTGTATATGCATTTTGAGCAAATCGCGCAGAACAAATGGATCACAACAAGCTGCAGGATAACAAAGCAAATATGGCCCAATTACAGGAATAGATCAAAGGACTACTACTACTGCAGACGTACTTTTACTTACTCTGACGGGGTACTGGCCTTTTGAGGAGCATGCGCTAAAAATTGACCTGCCTTATAATAATAGTTGCCGCAGCTGCAAGCAAGAAGATAATACGGAAACGGTCTTCCACTTTCTTTGCGAATGTCAAGCTCTATCACAAATCCTGCACAAAATACTTGGAACCCATCAGGCACCAAACCTTCGTTCACTAAACGAATAACGGATATAAGTAGTTTCATTGAGACCACCAAATGGTTTGAGGGCAACGATGAAACGGAATAGCAAGATTATAAGGTCCTACGACAGCGCATCAAAATGGCACATCCAGCGTTAATTGAGCCCATGGTGGCAGCACTCATATCCATCTACCTAAATCGACTCAGCTCGTCACGCTGATAGTTTATATACATATGTTTATACTTTATAGTCTCCAACGTTTCCTTTTAATTGTTACAAACATCGTGGCAAAATAAATATACCCTCTTTAGGCTATAAATATACAGTGGATCACAGCTTATTTGATAGAGCAGCCGATATAAATTTCGAATCTCAATATTTTCTAAATTGAAAGGAATATTGAAAAAATTTAAACGCTATATTATAGAGTAAATATTATTGAAAAAGGCGCTACTAGAGGAATGGCAGAAAATTACCCTAGAAACCACACAAAAGTTGGTCCAATCAATGCCAACCAGGATCCAGGCTCTTGTTAAGGCGAAAGACTTTCATACAAAATATTAAGAATTTAAGATTGAAAGTGATTTGTTTAAGTTATTTTGGAATGAATTGAACTGTATCAAATAAGCTGTGACCTGAAATTTAGCAGTAATTTTAATTTTATATACATATATTTGAAAATAAAATATTTTTTAAATAAATGAAGTACATCATATATATAAAATTCTATACTCTATAATAAAGCGTTTAAATTTTTTCAATATTCCTCTCAGTTTAGAAAATATTGGGATTCGAAATTTATATCGGCTGCTGTATCAAATAAGCTGTGACCCACTGTACATAAGTGAATCTATGAGGTATATTTTTGAATTATATTATATATATCATATGCCTAACATTAAGATTTTCGAAAT